TCTGAGTCAGTAATGAAACTTGTAGATTGTTATGGGGCACTATACAGCTATGGACCGGCTTTCAGAGGTTATACAGATTAATGACCATAAATATCCCATGGCACCCTTCATCAGAGTACCGACCTTAACAAGTGTTCTGTTCAACCTGGGTCATTATGTTCGGCCTGCTTCTGTTATCAAGCATTCTCTCTCACGTCTTGTTATGAAGTTACATTCAACAGCGAAGAGAATCAACACCATTCAGTGTCACAACCACTATTGGCTTCAGCCTTTATTGTATTGTTGTGAGGCTTAGCTGTCTGTCAGGTACTTTGAAAGTGTAAAGGGTTAAAGGATCTCTAGCTAAACTTTTAAGAATAATTGAATTAGAGTTGCATCTCCAAAACCTATATTGGAAAAGATATGTACTTCAGAACAGTTCACTAAGTTAAAAAAAAAAAAAAAGTTTAAAAATGCAGTAAGATTTGAATATTTAATCTGTCTACATGAAAAACTGTGAAGTTCCGAATTAATCTAAAGATGTCAACTATAATTAGTGACAGGACAGCTTGTTCATCCCCTCTCCCCCTCCGCCCCCCCCACTCTCTCTCAAGGACTGCAGAAAATTGGCTGAGGAGATATGACGGATGCCCCATCCCCATGGTTAAATAGTTCTTTTAAAAACAGAATTAAGATACCTCACAAAACACTTCTAACTTCATAACTGTAGGATGACTGTGCCAAATATTAAGAACAAGAGAGACATTCTGCATCCAATTTACTGCAAACTAGAATGATAATAATCAATATTTTAAAAAAAATTCAGTGAAATTCGTTTAATGCTGGTGATGGATGACGCTCCACACTGCTGAAGCATGTAGCTGGCCTATCGAGTGTCAGGTAAGTGCCCTCTTCTTAGTACAGTGCGTGTTCTGTTTGCAAAGCTTTAAAAATATGAACTGGAGACTTAGCAGAGCCGTACATACACTGTACTACAAAGGGCATTTACCAGCAGTGGAGTTCCACTGTGAGAATTATGTCACCTCCTTAGTGTACACTGGGGCATTGCATGGAGCAGCAGTCGGAGACCCACAACTTCACGAGGCCTTGAAAGAAAGAAAAAGCTCACAGTAAATATTATTTAAATTGAAAACCAACAAAGCATCTACTCCTACAAACTGCCAAACAAACCTGCCATTGTTTCTTTTTGATTAATCTCAGAAAAATCCTGGAAATTCTCCCGTAACTGCAAACCATCATGTCTCTCGGTCTTGCTAGCAATGGAATTTAATGTAAATTCACTTATTCTATAGTTCAATTAAGTGCTGATTATCATACCTCTTGCGCATCAATCTCCCCTTGGCAATTTAAAATCATTCTTGAAGGAAATCCAGCAATAGTAATGTTTATTACAACTTTAGATTTCCAAAAAATGCAGTTGGCTGAGACAGTCACACAACCAAATACTCATGCATTCATTCTTGCTTCATTCATGGATTCATAGGGTCTGGTCTTTGCTCTCTAGCCTATGACCAGTCCCTTGGGAGTGACTCTTAAGCATACCAAATCCCCCGGGGTCACACAGTTCCACAGAGACAGGCCCTGGTCTCCAAGACTGAGTATTTGTCTCTCTCTGTCGCTCCCTTTAACGAATCTAATCAAGCCAGACTCCTGCAGGAGGCTTGTACTCTTTGGGCGCAATGGTCTCAGTGAGCATTTGCTGTGATATGGGCACCCATTTCTAAACAAGGTAACAATTTATTAGTCACTTGACACACAGAACCTGAACGTCCTTGGGTTAGCAAAGAGAGAGAAAAGTTCTGTCAATTCTGGTCAAACAAGTGCTATGAGAAAGCCAAGCTCTAATCTAATGGATTCCATCTCAGGCTCTCTCTCTCTTTGTCCACCCAGGTGAAAGCAGCCAGCCTCTTCCAGAAGCCAACCCTTTAACTCCTGCCTGTCCCAGATCAGTTCTTTGTTCTCAAGCTGCGGTCTCTGCTCAGCTTTCCTGCTGAGAGGTGGGGAGAAAACCACCTTCCTCTTGGTCATTGTTTCCTAGGTGTCAATGTTCTGGCTCCTGAGGCTTTTCATTGTCTCTTTTGGACTCTGCATTAATAGGGGTTGCTTTCAACAGGTTCCAACCAGTTCCCCAACAACCCTATTCATTGCAGCCCAGACAGAGAGGCAACACCCACACCTCATGTCCTGTGTGCTGCTCCCAAGAGCAGGCTTAACTCTTTTTCCTCCTCTGGGTAGCAATGCAAAGTACACATGGGATTTTCTGTAATATTTTTATGAAACACAACTTCCTCACAGCTTCTCTAGCTGGTTAATAGCTTTTTGGAATGGACTGGCAAGACACTGGCCAAGAGAAGGGTCTGACCTGGCCTGAAAGACTTCTCAGCACAAGGCAACTTTTATGCTGTAACAGCTAATGTTCTGGCGATATCCCCTCAATGTTTCCAACCAGGATTTAAGAACAGGTTCTTACCCACGAAAGCTTATGCTCCCAATACTTCTGTTAGTCTTAACGGTGCCACAGGACCCTCTGTTGCTCCTAACAGAGCGTGATCATAGAATCCACCTCAGATTTTACACTGAGACCAGTGCATAGGTGGAACAGGAGTTAGTGACTTTCCACCCAGCATTGACTTAACTCCTCTAGTGAAAGAAAACATCATCAGTAACACTTATTTATGTACCTTGCTATCAAGTCCCAGGTCCTTGTCTAAAAGAGCTCTCACTTTTTTGGAGGGTGGGTGGGATACTTTAGATTGGACACATTATGCATTAGAACTTGAGCACGAGTAAGAATTCTAGGTAAGAATAAAATGTTTTAAAAAACAGATGATGACAGACACTAAGAACTGGGGTAAATATCACTTCTGGAGTGCTGCTGTTGGCTGATAGTGTCATGTGACCCTGCAAACTAAACTACAGAACCTTAAATAGTGGCAGGGCATGAGAAAAAAAAATACTTACAAAGGAATATGTAAAACAAACTGGAGTTTTAAGGACAAGCCTCACTTCGGAAAATCGGCGTGAACAAAAATACTCTTAGCTGTAGAACACAGGACATACAAGGTGGTGGAAAATGAGCAGCCATTATGGCCTGCTGTCACTTTTTCCAACCAGAAGGAAAATTCACTATAAGCATCAACTCCAGTCAAGCCTCTAGATTAACACAATGGAGTAAAACAGTCTGTTCCTTTTGTAATATTTCCTATTGCCCCAGTTCTTCAAGTAGATGTGATAATATGAACTCCTGAGCTTGCGTGCAGCCTAACGGCAGGATCTGGGGTTGTTTGTAAAATCAAAGTTCTGCTAGGTGTAGCAAGAATCTGTCTAGTATGCCTTGTGTGCTTATTTCCATAAGGAAATATTTTAAGCTATATTTCACACAATCTACTTTCAATGAACAGCCACATCAAAGAAAATCAAAGCTCTTAAATTCAAATGAAACTTCTCTAAATACATCTCTACCCCGATATAACGCTGTCCTCGGGAGCCAAAAAATCTTACCGCGTTATAGGTGAAACCGCGTTATATCGAACTTGCTTTGATCCGCCGGAGTGCGCAGCCCCGCCCCTCCAGAGCGCTGCTTTACCGCGTTATATCCGAATTCATGTTATATCAGGTCGCGTTATATCGGGGTAGAGGTGTATTCTTTGGGGCTTATTGTGCTTGGAGGAGTGATCACCACTTTATTTAAAAGGGCACTGTCAATTTGAAATCTAATCAATTTCAGAAGTGAGTGAACAGTAGTCTCAGGTACTACATCTTTCCCTGATTCCCTTGGTCTATCTATCAAATTACCTATTTTTTAAAATATATTTTTCTGTCCCTTGTTACTGTAAGAGAGACCCACACAAACTACAGAGGACCATGCCCAGGGAAAGATGTGAAACTGATTAAATACCAAAGTGCTGTCTATAGGCATAAAGTAAGCAAACTGAAAATGAGAGGACAGATTTTTTTCTCTCTGATCTCTTGGAATTATAATAGTGTTCTAAACAAATAGGTAAAATGTATTCAGTGATCATGACTTTTAAAATATATTGTGTCCCTCTTAGTCACCAAAGTAAATCACAGGCCTACTTATATAAACCTTAACCCCCTACTTCTTTCCAGTGATTTAATTAGAGATGGGCATTTGTCCTACAAAAGAAGCAGTATATTGCATGAAGAATATGCAGTAGGATGGTCTAAACCCTCTGCAATGTGAAAGAGGTCTCTGTGTGAGATATTACTTTTAAAAATTAGATGCTTATGTAATTTTTCATAGTTGATTGTTTAAGCTTAATGGTGTAGTTACGCATAATGCCACTGTGCAGCAGCAGGGCTATCAAACAGGATTAAGGCAAGGCAAGGCAGCAGCACTAATTTGTAAACAGGTATGCAGAAGAGCCACGCTGTCGGTATCTTTAAGACAAAGAACAATAGGATATATATTCCCTGTACTCCTATTGCTCATGTTCCCCCCACCCTTCTCCTGCAAGGAACTGTGCTCCTAGCACGAGGCCATATGTATATTGACAGAGCTGGGAGTGGAAGCCCCCCTGTGTTTCTGCTGGAATGGGGTGATAGGCTATTACTGGGGTTCCTCGGGCTCATACTGATGTGGGGAGCTTCTCCTGCTTCTGCTGGGAAAGGGGGCAGGGATTTGTTTAATAGCCATATAAATAACTAGGACAGGAGCCTCCCTCTGGTATGGCGGGGAGGTGCAGAATGTTCCTGTTGACTGGAATCTGGAAAGGAGAAGCGAAACTTTCACGATCTCGCTTCTCCGAAAAATTCTGTGACATCTCGGGAGTTGAGAGGGCAGGTCCCCTTCTTAGTGACCCGGGGGAAAGGGCTCCCTACTGGCAGCTCTTGGAGGAGCCTTTGCTTTATCGCTCTACAGAAGTGACAGCAGCATTCCGGTCCGGGGATGAAGAGAGGCGCAAGGAGTTTAGCTCCATCCAGTCACCCCTGGGACCGTGTCGGCCAGAGCAGGAAAGGGGCTTGGAGGATGCTCTTACCTTACAGGGGAAGAGGACAGCCGAGGCCACTTTCTCCATGGCCAGGTTCCTGATGCTTGGGGTCAGGGATCCCCTGCACGTGGGGCAGCAGCTCAGTTTCTGCCGGCATTGATTGCATACCAGATGCCCGGCCTGGCACTGCAGGATCGGGGGCAGCACATAGTCGAAGCAGACGGGGCACTCGAACAGCGAGGTCAGCTCGTGGTGCTGAGGCGAGACCGGCCCGCCGCCGCCGCCTCCTCCCGGGCCTGAGATCACGGCGGCCGCGGCGGGTAGCGCGGAGGAGCCGGGGCCGGCAGCCGAGATGGTGGCGGCGGCAGTGGGGGCAGCAGCGGGGGACGGGGCGTGCTGCTGCTTGCCGCAGGGTTTGTTAGCACTGGGTCCGGCGGAGGACGGGCGGCTCATCGCGGTCCGAACCAACCATCGAACTGCGGGCACCTGGGTGGCCACTCACCGAAACCCGGCGGGACCCGCGCAACAAACCGGCTCCGGGGCCGTTCTCGGGAGCGGGCAGCCGCCAGCAGCCGATTGGACGCCGCGGACGTTCCAAAGTGTATCAGCGTTCCAGAGAGATGTCCCAGCGTTCCGAGGGGAGCTTCGGCCACCAGCCCGAGAGGGGCCCCGCCGAGCGCGCCACGCGCGGGTCTTCAGCTCAGCGTCTGCAACATTGATCTGACGCAAGCGAGAGAGGCAGGAAGAGGGTGTAGCGCCGAAGCCTGCTCCCCGGCGGGTTCTGCTCCCAGTGCCTGGCTCTTACTGAGCATGCCCCAGCCGCCCAGGCTGCAGTGCTCTCGGATCGGCCCGGCGAGGCGGCGAAGGAAGAGGAGACACGGGGGTGGGCGAGGAAATGGGGTAGGAGTTGCACGAGCAGAAGAGGAAGGCATTTGCTGACACTCCACCGGGGGAGGCAGGCCCACGCTGGCGTGTCTGACGTGTAGGAGCCCCCTTCCACCTCCCGGGGGTGGTGGGGTGAGGGCCGCCTCTGCCTGTCTCCATGGGACTGCGTGGCTGCTAACATGGCTGGCGCAATCCAGTGAGGGAAACGGCACAGAAAGCACCGAGTTTTCACCAAGGGAGCTGTGATCTATTATGCATCCATCACTATAGCACTTTGCAGGAATAAAAGGTGGTGGAGGGGCTGCCACGCGGGTGATGTTCATGGGTAGGGTGACTAATTGCGATACACGGTGGCAGGCAGAGCTAGTGTTTTTGCACCGCACGGTTATGGTAGTTAGTCTAAAAATGTCCCGTGGCTGTGAGAGTAACAGCTACACCAAGGCTCCTGCTGCATAAGTGCTTTTTGTGACGAGTCTCCGTCTCTTCGGAATCTCGTGCATGCTGTGGGATGCATTTAGTCCAACAGCATATTTTTTTAATGCTGTCACCCACCCATGTTTTGCGTTGAAACATGTATGTTGCTGATTTGACACACGTGTACTATGTGCGTGAGAGAGAGACTGATCCTGATAAGGAGCGCACGTTGTGGGAGACCTAATTCATTTTTAGGTGAAATGTGGTTGCAGTTCAACAGATCCACTCATGTGTGACTCATCAACTGGAGGCTTGATGTAAAAGCCACGTCTTATTGCTTTGCTGGAGTGCACACTGCATACGTAGGTGGGGGGCGGAGGGTAATGTTTCCCATGCATTCCCTTGGCTCGTAGATGACGACCGTGTGTGTGGCATGTGGCTGTAGACACAACAAATCCTGCATCTTGACAAGGGGGGTGGGGGTTAGACTGGATGACCCTTGCAGTCCCTTCTAACCTATAGTTCTATGATTCTGGGTCTGCTGGAATTGCAAGTGTGTGTGTGTATATGAGAGAGACAGAGTGAGAGGGCAAATAGAGTAAAGGCATCCTCCCGCATAATGGATTATTGGTGCTATGCACCCTGGCACATTTAACACACTTAAAATTTAAGTTAATCGCAAATCATGTTACACAAGTCTTTTATGAATAGCAGTCACACCATATATTCTAACTTTACATGAACACATGACATAATCACTTCAAAAATTCCTTTGGCAGATTTTAAAATAATGTAAAATTCAGATTGCTTTTTCAATATTTTCTGCAGTTAACATCAGGGATGTGAAAGTTAGAAAGCCTTGTTTTGCAAACACTAACGTATATGCATAATTTTGATACTAATCACTTGACTAAAGTTATGCACATGCCTAAGAGTTTGCAGGACCAGGGCCAAAGCAAGTGTAATTAAGTATTATCCAGTGGTTCTTCATTTGGTGAGGTAAATGCTGGAAGATTGCTTGTTCTGTCCAACCAGTGAACATGAAACCAATTGACTCTGACATTACTGAATCTGCATTAAAGAAGACTGCCTATTTTATTTGATTGCATCTTGTTTACACAGCATCCTTTCAGAGCATATCTCCTCTCATTAAAATGGGATCAAAGGATCTTACTTGCCTAAAGGAGAGTGACTCTTAAGTATTCCCTGGGCTATGGACTATTGTTGCCCTGGAACTCTGGGTAAAGACCTAAAAGCACTTAGCCACGGTAATACTGAAAAGGACGAAATGCATTTTTGGTGCTTTTTAGAAATTGACTTTTGCTGATGTTTTTGGATTGTCTCAAGATTTCCCTGTCTACAAGCTAAGGCTCTGATCCCATTATTTTGAGAGCCGCAAACTCCTGCATTTCCTCCTGTATCCATTTAGCCATTGCAGCTACATCAATTGTCCCCGATTCAGCAAGAGCTACCTTAAAATCCTTCCATTATATACTCTGATTAACCATGTAATGCATCAGCTGATAATGAACAAGTCTGTTATAGTCCAGTTCTAGAAGTCAATAGCTGCAGTTCCTGGAAGGATAGAAAAAGAATAGACTTGTATCATCTGCATACCAGAATGAAAAATGCAATATAGTATTGACTGTAGCATGGAACACCTTGTGACACCAGTAGAAGAATATAGTAGGCAGTTTGTTACTGTTATCTCTGTGATTTTGGTGCTTGAAATTAAATTGTTTGTATGAAATCCATTCTCAGGAGTGGATGCAGCAAAAACTGCCAACGTATATGAATAAATTAAAAATACATCAAATGAGGATGTAACCCAAATTTCAGTGGGATTACTCATGTTTAAATGTAAACAGGATTGTTTATATACATTAGTGTTTGCAGGATTGGGGTCTGTTTTCATGAAATCTAAAAAGAACTAATGACAAAACAGAGTTTTGTGGTGGTGGAATGTTTTGTTGTTTTGCTTTACGTTTAATATTTTCCTATAGTGCATGAGAATCAGAAAGTGGAACTGATTTGGGTGTTTTCATTGTTGATGCTAAGCGAAGTTAGAAAATCAAATTTGATCTTTTCAAAATTCCTTCAGTTTTAATAATATTACGGAAGTGAGGAAACATTGGTTGTGGGGAAAAATAATCTTACAGTGCCTCTTTAAAATTTGAGTGAAATGGAGGGAAAAGAAGGAATACATTTGATGATAGTAAAGAGTAAAATTTAAGGATGGGTCTGTTTGTCTTTTTGTTTGATGACCATGTGTAGAGGTTAAAAATAATACTGAACTACTTCCTATGTACAAGCGCCCATGTTCAGCATAACCCATCATAACGATCAGTTAGTCTTGAAGGAGTGGTATAACAAGTATGCATTGCCTTGTCAGCAAAATGAGACTAGCTTCCAAAGAGTTGTTGTAACTTGACTCTGAGATTACCTGTGCTTAAAGGAACAGTTCCTTACCTCATGGAAGCTTACATGGTTGTTTTGTTTTGTTTGTTTTTTTGGGGGTTTTTTTTTGTTAGGCCTTCAGTGTGTCGGAGAAAAACAGAGTTCTCACTCTCAGGTTGGATGCAGCAAGTCAGATACTTTATTTCTCTAGCAATTGCGTGGAGGGAGAGAGCAGAACAGGTCTCTCTTCAGGTAAACAATTACAGCAAGCATTTATACCTTTTGTTACATACAATAATGGGCAACAGCTGCATTTTGTTTATACATATGTCCTCCTGATATCTTATTTTCCTCACCTCTATTTAGACTATAGTCTGCATTCCATACTTATCTAACACAAGGTCGCAACAACTTCTCATACAGTTCTTTCCCACTCGCCTCACACAATCCTCGTTTCTACAAATCTCGCGTTATTAGGGTTACAGCTAGCCTGACTCTTGCTCACATAAGGGGACTGCGTGGATTTGAAATCCCCTTCAAATCCCTGTCAGTTCTTTCTCTACTTCCACACCTGTAGTGGTATAATTAGAAAGGTTGCTATGGTATGAGCAGCTGCATGACTCATTCTTGACTTTAGCCACTAGCAAGATTCTTAATTAAGTTACTATCTGTACAGAATTTAGATTAAAAGGAAATTGTCATAGTTCCAAGCATTGGAGATCATTTTTTTTGCCATGTTCGTAGAGAGTCCTGAGCTGCCCTGTAAAATCACAACATCATATAATTGATAAGAAGAAAACATGTTTTTGGCATTAGTACGTGCATTTCTAATGTCAATACAGCACTTTACAACTTTTTTAACATTTCAGTAAACTGTTCAATAATGCATAATTCAGTAATACATAGTGAAAAGAGCTTGCATTTCATCTGACATTCATTAGCAATATTATAGGGGAAAACCATGTAGGGGGAAATTTTCAAAAGCACAAATGGGAATTGGGTATTCATCCACCCAATTCCCATTTGTGCTTTTGCAAATCTTTTCCCAACTTTTCCCTGATTGTTTGATTTTCTGAACAGTTGATTTTCTGAACAGTTTTTTAGTCATTTTTTTCCTCAAAAGAGTCAAATCAAACTTCTAAGAAGTATAATAGCCTGAAGAATATTCTTAAGTGTGGCTGTAAAAGTGACTAAAGAAGTCATGGATTTGATTCTGAGGCCTTTATAGGCGAAATTCATAGCTTCCCATACAGTAGCTAACAATAGAGGAAAATAACCAGATATGTGAAGAGAGAACAAAATGTCTTTCTTACTACTGTATTTTGTCCTCTGTCTGTCCTGTGCTTCTGTGATGATAAAACTCTGAAATAATCAACATATTATTAGATAGCTAATATTATATTATAGTCACAGATGACTCCAAGGTGAGCCACTGATTATTAGAAATATAGAAAAGACTGACCAAATATTAGAATAATTTAGATAATTATAAAACTCTCATTTAAACAGTATCAGGAATAGATAATTACTGCACGGCAAGACAAATAAAAGGCAGTCAGCACAGAAAGTTCAGAAACTGAAGTACTACAAGTAAAATAACTGGAGCGAAGCACCGATGCTGGCAAAACTAATGTCGCTTAGTGGGGTGCTTTTTCACACCCCTCAGCAACATAAGTTTTGACGACATAAGTGGTAGTGTAGACATGGCCTTAATCTTGGTGTCAGGGGTTGCTAGAATCGCCACAGGACATTCTCAGATCATCACAGACTTTCTCTGATGTATGTTTTCTCAGGCTTGGTCTTCGTTTGAAAGCTATATTGGCAAAGCTATGGCGGTCTGGGGTGAGGAAAAAATCACACCCCTGACTGACATAAATATGCCACCATAACTCCCAGTGTAGACACGGTAATGTTGGTGGAAGAATGCCTTGTCGATGTAGCTGATGTCATGCAGGTGTTGCTATACTGACAGTAAAACCCCTTCCGTTGGTGTAGGCTGCAGGGCCAGGCTGGCATAGGTTTTCTGGTATAGTCTTCATAGTGTAGACATGCTTTTAGTAAAATCATCTCAAGAATGCA